CACTCACCTGTTGACGTTGTTCGCCTGGTTTCGGTGCCGGTAGTACCTGTGAGTTGTAACCCGAATTGATGCAAATCCCTTCGATCAGAAGTTCTCGAGTCTTCTTGTTCATCAGATTACTTACTGGCAGCGAATTTTTGTAGAAATTTTCTGAAACTCAAAGTAGATAAGCTTCCAGCAGGAGCTCAAATCCTTACAATTCATAACAATGAAACTTTGAGAAGCTAATATTATTCGAACTACTTCTGAAAACCATTGTACTTGTCTGCTCTCGGGCTCGTCCGTTATGCTCCCTACATATGGTCGGGATGAGTCAGGCACTCTGGTGATTTGTCTCAATTCGGTACAAAGTAGCAGGTCTTCAAAGCCATGACATCACCCCTCCAATAAGCCATTATATAAACGTTGATATCCTTTGTAATTTTTGTGCAAAGTCGCCGACAAAGTTCCATTTCTGAGTAAATGCATAAAGCATACTTAGTCAGGATCGAAGACCGGCTTACAACGCCTGGATGACATCATGGGAATTGAACAGAAAGCAGTGCTGAATTCCTTCTCCTGGAGAATTCTGGTACTAAACATCGTGGAAACTGCTTTTGGGTATCATGGGCCCCATGAATACTTCCAAATTTAAAAAGGAAAGGGATCTGTATGGCACCACTGCCGTAATATTGGCACGCCTATTGAACCAACTCGAATTTTCAAGAAAAGAGATGGTTAACAAATATGATCAGGAGAGTAGAAGTAATAGGAATACTACCAAATCTTTAGATTTTTTTGTTTCTTCAAAGTATTATGCTCTTTTAGCTGAACCCACCACCGAGTTGCAGAGCCAAACATATTGGGAAGGGAGGTATAAAAGTTAAATGCACGGCGCGAGCCGTCATGATCCCATCAATAGCCGAAAACTTGTTCAGATTTGTTTCCCATGTGAAAAACCCTTTGCCTTTTGACGTATTTACAAATTCATACGGAATACGATATAACATAAATAGCCTATATCTTATTTAATACTGCTTTTTGAAAGCATACAAACGTCTCTACAAATCCGAATGAAGGCCACGTGCTTGGCTCATCCCGGTAAGATCTATCAACATCATTCATTGAGATTTTCTAGTTTTTAGAGCAGAGTTCCTTTTATAAGTGGAAAACGGAACGATTTTTGGAGAGTTTCATGGTACAGTATTCCAAATTCTTACCGTTGATGTAGCACTGAACGCAGGTCATTCGATTTGTGGTCAATGTTCCCGTCTTGTCCGAACAAATTGATGTCGCATTACCCATCGTTTCACAGGCATCCAAATGTCGTACCAAATTATTATCTTTCATCATCTGAAAAAAGTGGAATTTCCAAAAAAAAAGAAAATGAACATAGAGCAATGGCGTGGTTCTTTCCGCTGGGTTCTAGTTGTTGGTTCGAACCCCACTCAATACAGCAGCGTCCAAAAACGCACACGAGTACAAAGTGTCATGCGACTGCTATAAAGCCGCTTTTCTTTTAATCGTTCCTCAGGGCGAAATCCCCAACGGTCCTTTTAAGGCTTTCATGTCTATCCCTAGTGATAATCTTCTCAACGCTAATCGTCTATCACTAGGTTGCCTCTTAGCAACTACGACAAAAACTGTCCAGCCGATTCATTGCCGTAATTGATTAGTCGAATTGATCGTGACGCTAAAACAGGGTCTTTTTTTAGATGGGGCAAGACATTGCCGTTTGACAAGGAACTTTCTGTTTAAACATTTTTTCGTGAACCTCTCAATGCAACGGTTTGGATGTGCCATGCACTCGGACATCACATGAAATTGTCAAATTGATTAAGTACTTTTGAATAGCTACTCCATGTCAATATACTGGGATTTTACAAAAATTAATCCCATTTTCAAGGATCCTATAGAGGCTAAAGTTAAGAGACCACAACAGAGAATGATCTGACGACCTAGAGAGCTTTCTGAGGGTAGGTATATGTGCTTTCGTCTGTTGGAATCACCGACCAAAATCGCTCATTCCAAATTGGCTCGCAAATAAATGGAATTTCAAACAAACTCACTTTCTTCACGGAATAGGTAAGTGCCAATGTAATAGCTAATGGAAGACCTTCGGGAACGGCAATGACAAGTACAGTAACACCGATAATGACGAAGTTGACAAAGTAGGACAGATCGGATGTCTGAAATCAAAACCGTCAAATTTACAAACTTTGAGCATAATCTTGAAGCATGGAGAGAAAGAGCAAAGCAGTGCTGAAAAGCTAACACAGAATTAACTAACATTTTGTCCACTTCAGGATAAAAATTTCTACGATCTTTGTAGAGTCACTGAGTAATCGACAGATTTCATACTAAGGTAGGATTACCAAATTCTCGGCAATTGGTTCTTATGAAGCACTTTACAGATCAAGTAGGTCGTGGAAGCCTCGACAAAGGTATAGGACTATGTTACTGTATCAGTTGAATCCGCTGATGGATATCGGGACTTGATCGGCATAGAGGAGTCGTACCAGCACCTAACCTTCTATCGACAGTTACAATCAGGTACCATATATGTAACTGAACTAGGGAGGTGTCTTTTTACTCAAACAGCCCATTCCCTTGTGGGTATGAAGTTTTGTCGAAGAACTTCCACCTTCTCTTCGCAAACCCGTGGCCAATAGTTAGTAGCACAGCATAGATGCTTTCTCGATCTGCACGGCTATGTAGCAATATTCCGGTAACCCCACATAGTGTTTATGCGGAAAATATGCCAGATGTCTTAGAATTATCGCTAGGAGTGATCATTGCTATCGGTTTCCTGTGATTATCCTCTTCACCCAAAATTCGGCTGTACATTTTCCGTTCGGTACAGCTATGCAGGACCTGCAAATGTAAATTGACGAAACTTTTCACACCGTACCTTGAAAGACTCATGATTGACGGCATAGTGTGTGATGCAATGGCGAATGATGAGAATCAGTACCGTAGCCGCCGCCACAATAGAACCTTTAATGAACGGAAAAGTCATTCATTTATAATGAAAAAACACATTTTCAGTACGAAAAATTGCTTTGAATATACATAATTACAAAGTAATACACTCAAGGATGCATCTATCCCTAGAGAAATTCGAAAGGCACCAACACGTGTGACTGCCTAGTTTGAAAACTTTCAAGGGAGCGGAAGTGAGGAAATAACGAAATAGGAAGGGATTATGCAGAAATTTTCGGAATGGGAACCTTCCGTCATCGGTCTCGCCCAAACGACGCTACTAAGGACTTACTGAATAGTCTAGACCTACTGGATCTTTTTGGGAATCGTTAGACTAGAGTTGGCCTTCCTCAAGTCACTCTTCTCTCCAGTCACTCTTCTCTGTTATCTCGGCTTAGGACTTGCTTGACAAGAAAAGTACTCCCTGCAGAGCATTTTCAAATCTTCTACTTAGCACCTGTAGGGAGCAACAAATGTGACACTTGCGCGTGCGTTCGCGAAGCGGCCGAGTTGAGCACGATCCTCATGACAGACATGATAAATAATTAACAGGGAACAATGTGAAACTACATAGGTTAGTATTACATCTTTCATTCAAAATGGCTTTTTGGAGATGAGCTTAAGCTATAGGCCATGGAAACAGAAGCTCGGGTACTCCTCGAGGTGCCTGATAGCCGTGTCGTTGATAATTTGGCAAGACTGGCGATGAGGATGGAATTCTCTATCATTTGCACTGATACTTTTAGGGTTTTTAAGAACAAATTTCGAGTAATTTTAATAAAATCAGTCGGATAGGTAGTATTCACACTTACCTATATACCCGATTTGTATGGCTAAATTGGATAGTTTTGCTTGTAGTACAGATTTCCCTTTGCTAGCCTCTTCTTCAACAACAGCAGCAGTCGAATCGTCTTCTTTCTTTTTCTCACCATTTGTTAGACCATTGGCTACACTGAGATTAGGTGTATGTCCTGGAAAAATCGTAAATGAAATGCGAAGCTTAAAAACAAAAAAGGATTATTAGTCTGAAGCATGGCTTACCACTTCCATTCATTTCAATCTTACTCTCCTTATCGTCTTTCTTTTCCTCTTTCGTGGCGCCAAGCAGACTCATGATGATACCCGTCTGACTATTCAAACCGACAGCGGTGATAAGAAACCTTGAAAAATCACAAAGAGATTCCCAAAACAGTCAATCAGTATGTGTTTTTACTACCGATCAGCATCTACAGTATGATTTTAAAGAAAGGAATTTTATAACAAGAAAATAAAGATTAGAAAAGCAAACTTATAAAGAATTATGAAGAGCAACGAATTTCTCAGATTATATAATAGTGATGGAATGAGCTACTAGGAATGACAAAAAAAGGCTGTAAAAACCAAACCATGACCAAGGTTTTAAGAATTAAAATGCATGTAGAAAACATAAATATCGATCATCAGGCTTTGGGCCAGTCAGCTTTTTGTTATCCAACACGTGTCTCACAGAATTCACTTAGGTGAAAAGAAAAAATCAGTTCTGTTTTAAAATTCGGCTCATTCATTTGATTTGTGCAAAGCAGGAGATCAATCGACTCACCGTCCACTGCCTTCCATGGCATTAGTACCCGAGAGCAGTACGGGATCATGATCGAAACTTTTTCGGATCAGATCTGATTCACCGGTTAGCGACGATTCATCGATTTTCAGATCATTCGATTGTATCACCAGACCATCAGCTGGTAAGAGATCACCTGAATTGTCATCTTGAAGTTACAGGAAGCTCTTTTTGAAGTCATTACTTTCATAATTCTCATAGACTTGAAGCGATTTCCCAGCCGAGCCTACTACTACCCTGTGAACGATTTATTTTACCATTATATCGAAATTTATTATATTCGGATCAAAGCTCAATCATGCACAAACAGAAAAAAATCTCTGAGCATCTAAGAGATCCCTCTAGAGGTCAAGGAACCCAACCCAACACCTACCGTATTTTACTCGAGCGACATCTCCAACGACCAGATCGTTGACGACGACATCAACTGGCTGACCGCCTCGTATTACAGAGAATTTGTGCTCGGTTTCAATTTTTGATTGGAGACCTTGAAGAGAAGCAATAGCTCAATTATGGGTGGTCTTGAACGGAATCTGCGAACAAACCTCGGAATTGTTTCTCTTTAGACCAGTCATTTAGTGCCGTGACAAGTACTACAACGATGACGGCAACGAGGATAGCGACGCCTTCAATCCAGCCTGCTTCTTGTTCAGAATCGTCGTGACCTTAAGAAATGGTTTGAGTGCTTAGCTGGGATATGGAAGCTATCCATGCTGGAGTGCACTTATCATATATATAACAAAATAAATAATAATAAATAGTCATAATAAATATGATACGATACGATACGAAGCAATATTTAACCGAAATAAGTAAGATCAGAGAAGATTTCGTACACTGCCACAGATTGAGAAGAACGTACGGCGTGGTGCATCGTTAAATGAGGGATGAGAAACAGTAAAAACTAGAAAAAAATTCCAGTTCAGGTGTGCATGTATTTTTTTCTATGAGTTAAAAGTTCTAGACGTTGGCAAGCTTTTGGGATTCTGTGGGAGAAACGGAGAATTCGGGCGAGTATGGAAAACTGGTCTGAGGGAAGGCTTAAGGACTCTGTTACCAGCAAATTTCGGAATGTGTCTTTTTGTATGGGCGTTTCTGGGATTCGCCCACGTTACTTGAGAATAAAAAGTAAACCTTGTGGCCAGCACTGGAGCGGTAAAAAGATTGATCGGCGTGGGCCGAGAAAAATGAACCCTTGTTATGTTGGCAAAAATTAGCAGGGTCATGAGTATAGAAAGAAAAATTAAAATAAATAAAGTAAACGGATTTAAATTGAACGTCAACACAAAAATACAAAATTGGTGGAGTAATTGTAAGAATTGAAGGATATTGTGGGGTATCTAAGGGTGAAAACGTGCAGAGATCAATTACGATTAGGTATTGGTGAAAGTACGTTGCCATAAGACTTGGCTTACCTGCACCGATATTCTCTGGTGGTTTGTAGAAGGACAAACCAAGTGATACTATGGCGGATATGAGCAGAATTACCAAGGTAATATCCTGAAATCCATGAAAACGATGAGAAAATTGGTCCAACAATACACAAAGAGTTCTCGCACCTGTAAAGCTTCCCAAGCTAATCGGAAGAATGACTTTGACGGTGCGGGTGGGATTTCATTCTTTCCGAATACTTGTTGCCGCCGTTGGATTTCATGATGATCATTTGATAGGCCATTGATTGGGTCGGTTTTTAGTTTTTTACACAATTCTTCCACACTCCCGTAATCGTTGATCACCTGAAGAAAAGGGTTCAGTTGAAAATACCAAAATGTCACCTGTAGGAGCCCTTGTCCTCTTGGATCACTAACAACAAAAGCCAAATGCTCGGCCTAGCTGAGGGAATTTAATCAACGTTAAGCTCTTCATCTTTCACTAGTTTCTAGGTCTTTTTTATTCGCATTGGAAAACAATGATGGAGCACCACCCATTTCGCCGCACGCCCCGCCCACAACGGCTGACAGGCGCAACTGTTGCTCCTGAGCAACTGCGTGCAGAAGTGGAATGCATCAAAGCTCAGCCCTATGTAGCAAACCGTAAAGATCGAGAGAGAAAAGCTCTTCTCGTGCCGTCGTTGCTTTTCTTCTGGGAAGCCTCGAATTCAAATGGGGAAGCCTCGAATTCCGATGGCTCCTAATCGCTGGAATAATAGCAATACTCTGAAGTAAGGTGAAGCTGAAAAAGAAAATTTCTATTGTGCCTGAGTAACTGCTTTTGTGTGCTGGCTAGTTTCTAAAAGCACAAACAAGTACTTAGTTGTCTGCTGGGAAATCGTTGCGCTTGCCACCCACTGCTAGTTGAACGGCATCAAATACTTCCAAATATGCAGATTTATAGCATCCCTCGGGTAAAATGGAACAGCTGTAGAGTAGGATGATCTGTGGTGGCTAAAAAAGGGAAGCGGTCGAATGCCAATTTATTATTGACGCTGATGAAGAGTGGAGGATCTACCGGTATCCCATCTTTTGACTATTTGGAACGGTTCAACTACTTCACATCGGGTTAGCTATTGAAGGACAACCTTGCTCCACCTCTAAGTTTACGGATTATTCAGCAGTGTCCGAGGGTAATGGCTGGGGAAAAATATAGGACATTTCAGACAAGACTCCTTGCTATGCTAGATTATTCCTGCCTCTTCGTGAAAATTTTGTGAGCCCCTTTGCCTATTGAAAGGTAGGATCTGGTACCCAGCCATTACTTCACTCAACCTTTACACCAAATAAATACATCCTGCAATCATTGTCGCTCTAGGCCCAAGTTCCGGGTCGATAAATCTCTAGCCGAAAACATTTACTCTCCATAAACCAGGATATAGAAAATGTTTGTACTGGTATGCTTTCAAAGGTGATACCAATGATTAAATTGAAGTGAAAAAGGCATGCACGGCATATTCGTCATGGTCCAAACTCCCAGTACTTGAGGAAGCGATTTCACAGTGATGTACTCATTGCCACAATTGAGTAGCTAGAAAATGATAACTCTGGGCATCCCCCTGCCTCTGGGTGAAGATCTCGGTCAGATATTGGAAGATCGGGTTGTGAATGAACAACTTTTCATTTATTTTTCATTTCCAATTCCTTCGACAATCTACGTACATCACAATACTGCAACTGATCAATTTACTCTTACTTTCACTATCACGCTATGCCAATTTCATGCTGATACCGCCATTGCCATCTTCGCGCTCACCGCAATGACTAACAATTCGATCTATTCACGTCTGTTACACTCTGAATGACGTTGTAAACGTGCGTTTTTCTTCCATCGAACGAGAAGGTCATAATAAAGAATTCACAATCAGTTCTGTATCATTACATGTAGTATTACAATTCATTGAACAGCGTACACCGCTAAAGAAAACCATAAATTTACCCACCCCGTCTAGGTTCCACGTTAGGTTGGACGGTGGCGCTTATCGGGAAGGTTGTAATTGGGCATTTGAAGAAACACCTCGTACATATAAATATAACAAGTGCATTATCGGAATAATGCTATTTCACTGCATTTTTTCTTCCCATATCCCTCAGCTAATAGGTGGTTTAGTAAATAAATAAGTAAACATGGAGAGACAAAGATCANTCAAAGATCAACTCAAACTAGATAACTCAGAGGTTCCTCTGGTATGGAAGTTTCGAAGCGTACAGATGCGATATCTTACCACTGGATATTTCGGAATATCAGCAGTGGTTTGTTTACTGGTTGTTGTCGTTGTTGTTGTTGTTGCTTATTGTTCCTTTGCTATTGGGTATGGAAAACTTGCAACTCCTACCAGAACAAAGTTCAGAAAGTAGTTTTCGTTGAAAAAAATCCTAGGAATCTCGATTGCCGTTTGGGAATAGTAATTTGTTCGCCATAATATTGCTCCCATACGAAAGAATTCGTCCATCAATTGAATTGTTCCCAATCAACTCGTCCTTTTTTTCATTAGCAGAATTGAATCATCGAACCAGCCAGTGCTATTCAGCAAAAACCAGTCCATATTGATCGGATAGCATGTCCTCGTTGATAAGCAATCGATATGGTGATTCCCGTGACAAGGACGTCAAGGATGGGATGGTGGGATTATGGGGTGAGATGATGGCTTATCGATAGCGATACACAAGACGAAAGCCTTAGTCTAGGATAAGACGGATTGCATACTTGTAGCCATTGGAAAGCAGCAACTCGTGGGTTAGCAACAGTTCAGTAGGGACGTTAAGCAGACTGGGGGATATGTTTTCGTGACGTAGTTTTTCGAGAAAAAAGAAACAAAAAAATGTTATTTTTAAGGATTGATGGCTGAAAAAGGAGAAATTAAAGGGAAAATATCAGCTTCTGCATCTTCTTGAATCTACCCATTTAGAATTTTAACTTCAAAAATTCAAGACAAGATGGTAAGGTGGTTTGGTCCGCAGTCTCAGACTCTAAGATGTTTACTGTTTACTGTTTACTAAGAGATTCGCCTGATGAGCGCATAACTTCCAAACGTGTGAAAGATCAGGTCTATCCCCTTTTGTTGGATACAAGAAAGGAAAAAAAGATGTCTGATCGCTAAGGTTATTTCTAAACATTTCTGCCGACCTTCGAATGAAACAAAAAGTGAAACCAGTCGATCCGATTTATGACCAAACGGTCAGTTCGGTATATCGTAAAACGCGATGAATTTCAACTGCGAAAGTCACAGGACACATGAACGTGAAAAAAATCGAAAGTGAAGGGCAAATAGCTTTGAAAGCTACCTTCTGAAGGGCTTCATTCCCCCGAAGCTCCATGAGCGCTCGGAGTTCCGCCAGTGTACAACCATACCAGCCTTGCTCACCATTGCTCGGCATATCCACCCACTGGAAATGGGAAATATGAAATTTTTATGAAAATACAGAAAATAACGGAACGATACAGTAACGACAAACAACATTCAGTCATTATTGACACAAAAGGAGCAGGAGGAAGAGCGGGGAAAAATGAGCATTGAATCGAATAAAGCAAGGAGGAGCCGCAAAAGGCAACTTGCAGCAAAATCAAAGGAACCGGACATCGCCAGCAAAATCACCTCAGTATCGGAAATGGAATCGGAAGTCGACTTCATGGAGTCGACAGACTAATGAGAAAAATCCCTGGTCTTTCGTGAAAGTGACGTGATGTTCAGACGAGAGTATTTACAGAATGGCCTTCAAGGTTCGATACCAAGGAGGTTACCTTCGTCATCACCTGACGCACATTGGAGCGATGAGACGTAAATGGTAGAACGAAGTGTTAAGTTGATACTGGCAATCACACAAATGATTGTGACGATGCCTAAACCGGCCACGGAGAATTGGTGGTGGTAGTGGTGGTAGTGGTGGCGAAGGGTAGCGCTCAAACGAGAGAAGAAAGATACGGGACGGGAACGCGCCAGGGTAGGTAGGGCTACAATGTGGCCAGACGTAAAGGATCGACCTTGAAGGTGATAGTCATGCCACCAGCAGCTTCTAATGAGATCCTGGTCTCAACCATGAATAACAAACAGAAACCGCGCCTGTGGGAGAAAGCCGGCTTTCACCACGGACAAGCTTAAGACGTTGTTCATCTCTACAAAGGCGGAGAATGCTGTGAACACTCATCAGAACGCAATAGGATGAAGCCGTGTTGGGGCACATGTTTTTGTGGGCAAGACTGAGAGACTTCAGCGCTTCCTTGTGAACATATTCGATTTGGCTTAGCAGCGCATTATCGTCTCAGGTGAGAGCCGGTCGATTAGAGAAGGGGAGCTCATGTGCGTGTGTGTGTGAGAGCTGTGATAAAATCCCGGATGGGGGATTATTCGAACATGGGCAATGCCCTCGACGAGCTCTCCTGACGCTCCCACAAGTGCATTCAATAATCATCAGTACTTAGTACCTTAATGATTGGTTTGAAGTCAAAATCATTTGGGAGGAGATGCCTGTGAAGGCCTCCTACAGTAGTGAGGAGGAGAAATTGCTCCGGAAAGACAGCGAATGCTTTCATTATTTTTAATTAGGAAGTTTCTGGAAGGCTCCAAAGTAAGAGAATGATTTCAACGCTGCAAAGGAAGGTTTCAGGCTCTATGGTTCAAGAAGTTCATCTAGTTCCCACATGCCGGTAGAGCTCCTCAAAAAGACGCTAATACAATGTTCTCTGCTAGGACTGTAAAATTAAGACGGCAATAGAATAATTGCATTTGCCGATTTCGAATTCCCAAAAGTTTAAATAAAAACTGTCGCACAAAAGGGAAAGACATAGAAGATGGGAAAAACAAAAATGACGTCATTCTTCAATTTCTCATACAAGACGAACTAGAAGGAATAAAAAGTCAGTCAACCTAATAAATAGAAGTATGCTATTAGTTGATTGTTACAAATTTACAAAATGCGAATTCAAAGGCTTTCAAGGCATCATGGATACCACCTAAACTTGCCGGTATTTTATTTACTTATTTACCTTATTGACTTGTTGATTATCTCTAGGGGATTACAATAGTACTATTCACTATTGAATATTATCATTATTTACCTTTAATATAGTACTGATGTTGCTTGGATTACTACAATTCTTCCCATGAGCGAAAATGGCGCAGTGGCACGTGGCGCTTTATCACACACGCATGGTTACGGGTTCGAATGCTAACCTGACAAATGCGCTAAACCGACCAAGCCTTCCATCTCGCCAGGATCATTTAATTGGCACCAGACCCGTATGGGAGGATAAAAGCACTGAGCACTATTATCGGCTGGTCAGCGCAAGTGGCGTATAGGCCAGACATTGAATAAGTCACTACGATTCTGAATAGAAGCCAAATGTGGGGCGCATTCCAAAATGAGACTGATTAGCACCAAAAACTTAATTCTCCTATTTTTATCAGCTCCTAAATTTCTTATGAGATATTCAATATCTAACAAGGTATGCTGAAAAAAAAACTAACCAAAATTTTGGAATTTCGGGGAAAAATATGTAATATTCATCGTATAAATGAGGGAGCTAGAAGAACCTTTTCAGAGTTTGCCTAATAAGTAATGTTTCCCTTGGCGATGCTAAAAACGTCCCCATTTCTGGCAAAGCCATTTCTTCAACAAAGACTGACAATTTATCAAAACACCAAAGAAAATACGTTCCCTAGGAACGATATTTCTCTCGGAAAAAAAATGTTTGAAAGCAAAAACAACCAATAGTTTCGCAAGCTAGAGAATAGTGGCAAGACGAATTGACTGCCTCTGTTCCAGATGAATGGCATCGGAAAATAATTTTCGAACCATTCACCCAGATTGAGCCACAGGCTCACATATGCATGGGTCTCCTACGAAGAATATAAATCATCTTTGCTTTTCAGTTATTCAGCTCTTGAAGGAAAAAAGGATATCCATAAGAAATATGGACCAAATGGTATATGCATCAACACCATCGCGATACG